AGACATAAGCAAATTAGCATGATAAAAGATAAAAGGATGTTGATGATGATAGTGGTACCGATGATAATAACAAATATCATCATTATCATTGTCATTCTTACTAATGTATTCGTATTACTATTGTTATCATAATCATCATCCTTTTTTTGAAATAAGACATAGATGCATAATTAACAGTAACATCTTGTTTTGACAATCTATTGACATCTTTCAATTTTAACGGATCCCAATGATATCTGTGCATGTTTTCGCTGTTCGTGTCTGTCTAATAACGTCACCGCCTCCGCCTTCTGCAGGAGAGAGGTTCGACGTCGTGCTCGAGGCCGACCAGCCCGTCGACAACTACTGGATCCGGTTCACGGGACTCATTGACTGCGAGTAAGTCTGATTCGATGATTAGTTATTAGATTGTGCATGAGAACTGACGCGTACGCAAAGGAACACGGAGAGATGTCCGCACACACTTATGCAAACACACACACGTACACACTCACACAAACAAAGAAACACACACACACACACACACACACACAAACAAACACATGCATACAAAGACATGTTAACACCAGGGGCGGGTCCAGAGAATTTTCTGGTAGGGGGCACAGGGGTAACTACAATAAATCTATGGGAGCCGCCCAAAAGAAACAAAAATTAAGGATAACCTCTTCAGTATTTATATTATACAGTTACAAATTGTTTATGTTTTCTTCTTGTCTTTCTTGGCCACATAAAAATGTGGATGTCGATAAAGACATTACGACGAGTCAGTGACCATTGGAGGCACACGGGGTGGCCAGTCAGATTGCAGGTGGGGTGGGGGTGGGGGGGGGGGGGGCGCCATGGAAACCGCCTCCGATTAACAGAGAGAGAGAGAGAGTGAGAGAGGGGGGGGGGGAGACACACTGAGAGAAAAACAGAGAGAGAGATATGACACGCCCATCCTTCCGCCAGGCCATTCGAGAGCGTGCAAGGCGCCATTCTCCGTTACGAAGGCGCCCCTGAGGAGGAACCGGCGGGCGCTCTGACATACGACCCCGCCTATCCACCGGGCACTGTGAGTCTGGTTACTAATGATGCAGATGATGAGAATAATGAGGATAATTTGATAATGATGAAGATGAGAGTCAAGATGTGGATGATGATGATGTTGATAGCGGAAAAATGCCCGGATGATTTTGTTCTTATCTTTTAATTCGTTTATTTATTCATGTGTTTATTTCATTCAGTTTGTTTTTCTTGTGCCATAACTCTTGATTTGCTTATTTACACAATTCAAATATCTTTATCTCCGTAGGTGGTGAATCCCCTGAATTCCGCGGGCGGGGCGAACGAGGTCACCATGACTGACCTCGACGCCCTCACGCCCTCGACACTTCCTCCTGAGGTCGACAGGCAGTTCTACCTGGCCTTCGACTTCAGCCAAGTCAACAACTCTCTGCTGTACAACCCTGATTTGTACCCTTACAATGGAGGTTAGTTCGCGTGTGTGTGTGTGTATGTGTGTGTGTGTGTGTGTGTGTGTGTGTGTGTGTGTGTGTGTGTGTGTGTGCGTGTGTGTGTGTGAGTGTGGTTCAAACAAATTTGTAGTTAATAGCATTTAAAGATATATGAGCATATATGATATATGATATATGATGAATCGCTTCTAGAATAAAAAAAAATCAGTTAAATACAAAACATTATAAAGCAAGAACAATAATCAAACGAAAAGAATCATACAAACGATAAAAATAATAAAAAAAACAATAATGGATCAATTAAAAAAAAGAACAACTGATCAATTCAACACAAATAATAATAATAACAATAACAAAAGCCACTCGATCACCAACCGCCCGTTCACTCCCGTTCAGTGTCGGAGGAATGGCAGGTGAACACGCCGCAGCTGAACGAACTGAACTTCGTCTTCCCCCCCTCCCCCCCGCTCTCCCAGCCCGAGGCCGCCATCCCCAGCCTCTGCCGCTACGGAGAGGTGCGTGGCCAGGATTAAGGATATTCGGGAGTGTAGTAAAAGAGAGTTTGCGGAGTATTCTATAATCAGCCCCATATTAAGTATTCCCCCCCCCCATTTCTATCCATTTAGAACATATCCCCCCGCGATTTCTATCCATTAGAAATATTAATAATAAAAAGTTATGAAATCTTTTTTCGGAAATATATCACCTCTCTCCGCTTTTTCCTCCCCACCCCACACCCTCCTCCTTCAGGAAGTGTCTCGCGACTTCTGCCGCTGCACCTACCTGCTGGAGGTGGCACTCGGGGAAACGGTGGAGATGGTGCTCGTCGCTGAGGGCCAGATCGGGGACGAGAACCACCCGTTCCACCTCCACGGCAACAAGTTCCACGTGGTCGCCATGGGGAAGCTGGGCAGGTTGGCATCGGCTGATAGATGGATTGCGTTTTGGATATGTGTTAATGAATATGTTTGTGATATATATATATATATATATATATATATATATATATATATATATAATATATATATATATATATATATATA